AGGTAGGACAATTAAAGGTGACTAGATACTGAGGACCCTGCCCCCATGAATGAATGAATGCCATTATTGCAGAGTTAGGTTCCTGATAAAAATGATGAATTCTTTTGCCCTTCCTTTTCTTTCTCTCTTGCTCTTGCACCCTCTGATACATTCTCTGGCCATGTAATACCTTTCACCACATTACCATTCAGCATAAAACCCTCACTCAATGCAGTCTCATGATGTTAGGGCTTCCCAGTCTCCAGAACATGAGTCAAATATATGTATCTTCTTTATACATTACTCAGTCTCAAGTATTCTCTCATAGCAGCAGAAAATAAACTAAGCAGTTGCATTCAGTGGCTACTGGGTCTAAGACTAAAGGTTTCATCTAATATCTGGTATAAAATAGACAGAAGTGAGATGGGTCCCCTTCTTCTTCACCAGAGTGTCTGAAGGTAAAAATAGTATTATGTATATGAACTAGTCAATCAGTTATAGAAGGGAAAAAATGTATAAAGAAGGATCTGTTCAAATCATAGAGAGATTGGCAAGATCCATAGTTAATTTCAAAAAACCCCTGGGCCTCAAAGAGCTTATGTCTGAGGGCATACTTTGGACGTCGTTTTTACTTAGCTAAGCCCCATGACTGGGTTCTTCTCACCTTTGCTGGTACCAACTTGAGATTCAGCTGACCTGTTGGTCCAAGTTCCACTGGCACTGCACAGAAAGGATACAGCAAATGCCCAGAGCTAGCCAATGGCTGACAGCCCCCTCATGTCCCTCCCAAGCTTACATCCAGCATGCACTCTAGCATTTTCCCACCACCTTGTCCATTTATCATATGTCTAGAACAGCCCTGGTTTCACATCACTATTCTGTACAACAAGAATAATTAAGTATCCAATAAATGATCCAATTTATGCAACTATGAAGTTTTTCACAAAATAAATTCACAAGTTATATTAAAAAAAGGTCTTTTGTTGGACAGTTTCTGAGTCTTTATTTTCATTTGGAAAATCTAGGTACCATATTTATAAGAAAAGTATATTTGATCTAGAGAAAGCAAAACAAGTGGTTAGTTTCAATGCAGTTACACTACTCTCAAAGTACCAGGGATGTAATTTCCTAGGATAAGTCTCTAAACCCAGAGACTTATCCTAGGAAATTCTGCCATTTTGGAGTATTTGTTGGACCTTTTGGACATCAGTGCCTTTCGTGTGGTCAACCAACCTGGGCAGCGACTCTTTCCCAGGGGAAAATTGACATACCCCTCAAAATCCAAAGCTCTGAGAGGAGGTGAGTGGGCAGTGACTATACCTTTCCTTTAAATAGTTCAAGGTGCTTCCTAATATCTGTATGGCCCAAGGGTCACTATTCTCTGAGGACCACCTCCACACATCCTCCTTGCTGGTGAGGTCGCCAAGGCCTGAGACATGTTTAATCCAAAGTAGGAGCAGCCCAATCCTGTTATGCCTGTCCTCCCTGAGCTGGCCAGCATCATGGCATGAAAAAAAGGATGACGCATGAGAGGGCCAGTGAGCCAGTGCTGGAGGGACTTCCAGGGCCAGGAAGGGCTAGTAGGGGTAACATAACAGGAAGGAGCACTTCCTCCCCTTGGATGAAAGGGTCCCTGACACACAACCCATATAAGTACCTGGAAACAGCACCCCGCCCACACAAAGGCCAGACAACTTCCAAAAGTGCTGTCTCTCTACCTCCTTGGCTGTGACATCATTACAGTCTGCTTGAGGTGCTGATCTTACAAGCGGGAAAACACGTGTCCTGCTTTGACAAACTGACCCTGAGAAAGAGAATGTGAGTTCTGCGTGAAATGGTTTTTAACCTGGCAGTGGCATTGATTTTAACAACTGTGGCTTGATTATTTTAAGCATTCTTCCAGTAAGGTAAATAAACAAATAATGCTAATGTGACCTCTGATTTAAAAATCAGGAATCTGAGACTTGGCAGTCTTTTGGGATTAGAAAATATTTGTATCCTACATTACATGATTGTTTCTTGGTCAACTAAAGCAGTGTGCTAAATAGAGTCCCTAAGAATAGAAGCACATTCTCTCCTTTTCTTTTTTTAGATTTTCCTTCCTAAAGCAATAATTTACAAGGAACCAAGACCTTCTCAAACCAGTCTGCGCACAGAGCACCATTCTGCCTTTCAAGTTGAAGCTGCTCTGTGGCTACTTTGGACCATGGTTTCTCAAATTCAGCACAATCAACTCCACAGCTGGTTAAGTCTTTGTTTTAAGAGCCTGTATTCTGTATTGTGGGAAGTTTAGTCCCTGTCAACTAGATGACAGTAGCATTTCCCAATTATTGACTACCAAACACATCCCTTGTCTGGGAGAGTAAAATTGTCCCATGTTGGAAACCCCAGTGGCTCTCATAGTTTTCCTTTGCCCCTCAAACTTACCATTCCTGGGACAAAGTTTCTTTTCTCAGTGGCTCAGTCTAACTCAATAGAGACTGTGGCACCAGGCAGGAGGACTTGGATTATTGGACTAAGTTCCATGGGTTGAGCTCTAGATACCAAGGGGGTGACAGAGATGGGAAGACACCGGGTACCTGAGGTTTCGACTTAGTTAATGATGTTGTGCTCATTCTTCCACCAAATCTTAGATTGGAATTCAAGGTATAAAATGTGTTGCCAGAATTTCTAGTGCCAACATCCAAAGGTTATATTTTGCAGACAGTTTATGAAATCCTTGACTGTTTATAGTCTAGCCTCATATTGGGAATTACCATTAACTTGAACTTGTACTAATAAAAGTTATTTACTTATTTATTTTTTTATCAGACACAAAAAGTTAAAAGACTTCTTTGCTTGCTCTGTGGTTCTGAATAATTGCCTAACTCAGCTCCAGTGATGGAGAAACTGAGGGCCAGAGAGAAGTTATGAGTGAAAGTGCTGGAACAATAACTTAGCAACTTTCTTATGCAACCTTCTGCTTTTACCCAAGCTACTTTGAAATGTGCCATGAAAAGAATGTCACATGTCAATAATAATTTTCCAGAATAGCTGAAATGATAGAACTCTTGTCAAGGGAGAGATGAATTCTTTGTTTGTAAACCAATGGAAACCATTCAGAATATATTAAAAATACCCATTGTATTCCATTGGAGATGGGAGTTTTTAGTTCAAAATAATCACTTAGATTGATTGGCCTGGAATTTTTTTTTTTAATCGTCTACCGTTTCCAGATATCCCATCTGGGATAATAATATACCTACAACTTGTATATTTATATTAATTATTTTTCATTTCAGTGTCCAAAATAAAATAGGTACGTATTTGTATACCAATTTTGTGTACAAATACACCCTGTAAGATATTAATATTGCTTAATTGACTATAATATACTAGTAAAGAGAATTAACATAGTTTGTTTTTAAATTTTTAAATCATCTTTTCCAAGTCAATGGCACATCTTGCTCCCAAATCATAATATCATTATTTATTTTAACAAATCATCTCTAAGAAAAATGGAGTGTAATTTGTGCTGACCTTAGATGATAACCTCTCTGTCAGAAGCGGGAGGAGCTTTCCCTGGCAACTTCTCCAAACCCTTTTCATGACCTTAAACTGCAGGTCTCTTGGCAATTTCTACTAAGTAAACTCCAGTGACTCCTTGCCTCGTGTGTGTGTGTGTGTGTGTGTGTGTGTGTGTTTACACATATTGTTGATATAAATTATGATCCAAATTTTTTCTGATTCTAATTTTTTTCTGGATAGTAAATAGTGCTTGTGTGAAAACAGAAGCCATTAAAAGAAGAAAAATATAATAGAACAACAGTGAAGAAAGATGTGCTAATTATCCAAGAAATGTCTTTTCCCTTGAATATACAATAGTGTTTGAGCAATTATTTATCAATACTACAAAAAGGAATTTCAAACCATTCAGATCTTTTCATATACAATTACACTGAGAGGTTCTCATTGTAACTTAAGGGTACCACATTAAACATTATAGAGAACCTCAGTCAGAGCATAAAGACCAAAGTCAGAACAGAGCTCTGGTTGGTTGGTGTCTATTTAGACCCATAAATCTACTGGGAAGATTTAATAATAAACTTATCTCTCATTTCCAGAGTGTGTAAAAAATATTCAACATTGATGATGGTTATCTTTGTATAATGACATGCAGAATTCAGATAGAGTAGTTAATGTCACATCTATTAACATGTTAACATGAAAGTTTCCTTTAACAGTGGAATTGGTCAATGGCAACATTATAGGATCTCTCCTGTAGTAAATTTTAAAGGAATTTATCTAAGCATTTCCAGGAATCAGTCTATAGCCTTAGCAAGGGTTTTCTTCCCTATGGGCAAAAAATTTAATTGAATCCTATTTTAAAGTTCCTTTTAGCCCTCTTAATCTAAGATTCGTGAAATTTTCCCCATAAACTTACTATTATGTTTCATTTTATTTTCACTTTAAATTTCTCTGGTTAGAAAACTTCTGTTATAGCCAGAATTAGTGGCAAACACCTATATCCCAGAGACTAGGGAGGCTCAGATGAGACCTTAAGGAACTTAGTGAGGCCCTGTCTCAAAATAAAAAATAAAAAGAGTTGGAAATATGGCTCACTTGTAAAGCACCCTTGGGTTTAAAAAAAAAAATGTGCTGTTTAGCTTTTATATCTCAGGCCCAAAATAAATTTTACTATGAATAGGTTTAAGGTTCATTAGTACATGAAAAATCCTCACCAAATGAACTGAACTATGAGAATCACCTAGTTTTAACTGAATCATGTTTAAGTCCCATTCTCTAAAACTCAATCATACTAAAAATCTTCTTCAGCAAGTCCATAGGTCTTGGATTTCTACTTTTCACACTGATAAAGATGTAGCTAATCTCACAGTTGAGCTCCTCCAAACTGGTTCAAAGCTGCTTCCAACCCTGGCTTCTCTGCAGAGGAGAGGTCAGGGAACCAGAAGCAAGAGAAAGGGAATAGACAAGGTAGGTGATGGGAGACAGAGAAGGGATCACCATGGACCGCCACTCACCACCACTGCAGGACGAGATGCTGGGTAAGGGACAGGGCTGCTCATAGTGGAGTCCACAAAGTAGTTCATTCTTCTCTCAGCACCTGTAAAGGAGACATATAGGCTGAGCCCTGGAGTTACTCAGGAATATGAACTAGAACCCCAAAGAGAGTGCAAGTCTTAGAACTAGGAATCTTTTAAGGAATCATCCAGCTTACTTTTTTTGTGAGATAGAGAAGGAAACTGAAATTCAGGAAGATAAGTGACCCACCCATAGCACAGAAGTGGAGCAGACCCCAGACAGAGCCAGCCCCGACAGCAAGACAGTGTATACAATAGATCAAGTCTGTGTACTGTAGACAATACACATCAAAAGGATCTACAAAAAGGCACCTTTTGTAGGGTTTCTGGGCAGGGACAGATCCTGTATGTCTTTCTAAATAAAATGTCCATCTATGTATCTCCTGTTCCCCACCTCTAACCAGATCTGGCACATAGCAGGAATTCAATACATACTTGTACCATAAATTAGTTGATAAAGCAATAAATAGAGAAAGGATTAAAAGAAACAAGAATGGAAAAATTTTCTCTAAAGAACCATGTCAACCAGCACCCCAAGGCACAGATAGAGAGAAGCCCTGAAAAAGGGATTGAACTGTATTCATCTTGAAACCAAGAAAGGGCTATTAAATAACTCTTGTTGAGAGCTATTACCCCCATTGAAGTCTGACTGGCTAGAACACTTGAGGAATGTTCTGGCTGGAGGGATTTTCCAGCTAGCTGTCAGTCATCAGCAAAATCATTTATATATCAAACATTTTTGTTGACCTAAGTGCTTTCTAGAGTGCATTAGTTCACACACTTTTGTAAATTTAATACCACACACTAAAAAAATATGTCTTTCTTGAATGAATAAGATTAAATTCCTAGGCATATTGTTCAGAGGCCAAATTCCTAGTGTTAGAAAATGACATTTCAACCCTACTATTTTCTAGGTTGTGTTTGACCTCTTTCATTATTCTTGCAAACCTTTAAAGCATTTGAAACATCTTGATAAAAAGAGTACGAGGATAGGCCTTACATTTGAGTTGCAGCTTTGGTTCACCATCTTGATACAGTGTGAGAATCAATGACATGCCGACTTTCTTCTAAAATGTATTTTAAAAAATAAACAGGTCAACAATATAAAATTATACTAAGAGCTGCAATCACGGAGCCACTAATATCTTATAGTCAAAACATATAAGCTAAAATCCTTCTGAAGTCATGATTTCGCCTAGAGTTATAGGCAGTTTTTTTTTTTTGTTGTTGTTGTTGTTGTTGTTTTGTTTTGTTTTGTATTTTAACTATTTTGCCTTGTTATATTTTCTCCTGAAGGCAGAATGCAGTTCAAACAACGTTAACTTAAAGAGAAATTTAAAAATGGTCTGGATAGCTAGGCTATGCTAATCAAGATTTCATTCTCCAGTTTTTCAGGGGATTGATCTCTATTGCAACAGATGGCACCCAGGAAGAGCTCCCCAGTAGTGAAGCTGAATGGTAAAAAAGGTCAAAGATGATAGGGTAAGACTTCGTTAACATCAGCCTCCGTGGTTGCTAATTCAGTGTCTGTTTCTAAAAATAGAGAGCAGCCATCATGTCTCAGACGCTGAGCTGGGCACTGAGCGTGGAATAATAAGGTGCCACATATTAGTTGATAAAGCAATAAATACATATCATGTAGGTTACCACAGACATGTCTTGATCCCGAATTGTAGAATAGTCTCCATGAACTCCATGGGCTCTTTCTCATTAAAGTATTCCTTATTTTTAAACTGAAATTTGAATTTTAAGACCCTAATAAATTATCATCAAAACATATATACCCACTTGAATGTTTTGATCTACTCAAAGATGAGACTTAGAAGCTACCTCCATGATTTGTACCACACTGAGCATAGTTAGACCAAGAACAGATCCCCTGGGGAAAAGTTGGTCAGTCTTCCAGGGTCCAGGAGGGCAAATGTTGTTAGAGTCTGTAAACAAGTCAAAATAACACCTGGCATTTTGCCAGGGGAATGTTAAAGTTCGTAAACAAGTCTGGATGGTGCCTGGCAAAATGCCAGAGGGAATGGTTTGAGAAGTAACAAAAACAAGCCATTAAGTGTGGAGATTCCTTATTGGTTGACTGATGTATCTAGTTTATGCTAATTAGATAAGCTATGTGGAATGTATAAATACTGCTCCTGTCCTGCAATAAACGGCTCCTACTCCTGCTGTATCAACGTACACAAGTTATTCGTCACCCCCCGGTTATTTTGCTGCAGCCGGACTGCGGCAAAATGTTACTATTGGAAATGTCCAGGAATGAAGGATTATTGCTTCATGCAAGCCATTCAACTTTCTGGAGGAAATGTCCTGTCTTGGGAGAATGCCAGTTCATTCAAACAATCAAAACGTCTTATTTCCACCCCAAAATCCTCAACAATCTCTTGAATATTCATAAACTGCAGTTACTCATTCAGTAATCATATAGTAGGTTTCCTTTAATGGGAAGGTCTTTGTGCATCCAGTAAATAATTAATATATCACTACTACATTCCAGGCACAGTTCTGGGCACTTGAGACACATTAGTAAACAAAGATTCCTGACCCACATGACCCTTAGATTCTACCAGACTCAAAATAATAAAGCTGAGAAAATCTCTATCATCACGCAATAGTGAAGACAGACTCACGTACAACATAATGTGTGGGGGAAAAAAAAAAGAAGCAGTTAGTTCTGCTGGGTTCAGGGAATAGGAAATCATGGAAGATTGCTCAGAGTAAGGTGTGACCATGGGGCCTTATGAGTCATCTCTAGATTCCCACAAGCAGCAAAGGGCCTTGACCTTCAGGATGCCTATTTTACTTATATATTTGTAGGAAAAAGGGCTTTTGGACTTGGCAGCAGCATACTGGAGCCTAGCTAAAAGACAACAAGAGTTTCTGTCTGCCAGCCAGACAACACTCCTCCTCACAGCAACATGCTAGGGAAAAGGTTCAGTGGAAATATGTTTTCTCTTCCAATTGACAGAGTGAGGGAGGAAACCTCTGGCCCAACATCTGGTGCATTCTGTGCTGGCCCATATTCTTGACTATATGAATGACATTTCCCTTGGGGAAAAGCCCTTTGCCCAGGGAGGAAACTGAAAAGAGGGAGTTGCCAGGGATCTCAAGGGCTCTCATTGCAGGAAATAACTCTGGGACAGAAATGGATTGCTGCTTTATTATTTTTTGGAGAAAGAAAAAAAGAACCCACCCTTTTTCCACTTGTAGATTGTGACATACAACAGCTGCTGGAGAGCTAAACTCTTTCAAAAGATACAAAAGGAGTGTTTGGAGTGTGTGTATGTGTGTGGAGAGAGAGAGAGAGAGAGAGAGAGAGAGAGAGAGAGAGAGAGAGATATTCTTATTTGGCGTTTTTGCCAAAGAGAATTCCCTCCCACGTGACAACAGCTTGAACATCAGCTGGACCAGCGTTTTGTCTTGGCACTGCACATGTTTATTACCTAAATGAAAAACAACTGTGTGATTTTAAGATTTACTCCCCAGCTGAGAAGCAGCAGAGAGACCTGTCTGGGTATAGAAATTATTTGAACGCTTAGTAACAGAGGAGTGGAAAGACCTAAGTTCATTTTTCTTGAATGGGACCAGCACCTCCTCCGGAGCACCAGAGAAAATGGTCCCAAGCAAGACTGCCAACTCCATTTCAGAGACTTCCACTCTCCCTCCACCTCTCCAGCCCCTAGCTCAGCAAGCCCCACTGCACCCTCCACTTCTGAACAGGCAGCTCTCTGCTGTTCTCTTAGGACATTCTTATTTTTCTTCCCTTCCTAAATTATGTCTCTGCTAGAAATGTCCCCCATCCTGTTCCCTGGGACTAGTGAACTCCCCCTCCTCAAGGTTTAAGGGTTAGTCTCAGAGGGTTGCTATTCCTGGAAGATTTCCAAACCATCCAGCCGGGCCTAGCTGCTCCTTTTCCATTTTGTGGAGCATGCCATTGGTGTATCACACTGTTTCACCAACACCTCTTTCTATTTGTCCCCTCACTAGATTCTGAGCTACTTGAAGTGAGGTACCCTGACTTTTGTACTTCTACATCTCCAGTACTTGAGACAGATCGTGGGCAAAAGAGAAACTCAATGTCTTTATTTTTTAGTAGGAAAGATGTAAAATATCTCTTTAATCCTTTAATTATATGTTGAAACAATGTCTCATCCACATTTTTAGTCTTGTGAGACCAGTTTATTCTTTCATACATTCATCAGTCCATTCACTGATTTAAAGACAGTGAGCACCTCAAGGCTGCTGATCCTGTGAATGGACTGATGAATGTATGAAAGAATAAACTGGTCTCATAAGACAAAATGTAGATGAGATGTGGTTATGTTCATTTCTCAAATTAGAGAATCTGAATAGAGGTCTAGATAAAGACCACGTGAAATAATGAGTTTGTTTTATGATCCATTTCTAAGTGAAAAGTGCTTCCTTCTATTCACATAGCTGTTTAAGGTGACCTTATCTAAGAAGCCTTTCTCACTGCCCTGTACAAATAGCTGCACCTTTCCCCACTCAGACACTTCCTTGTTTGTTTATTGTCTCCTCCAAGCCCCACCCCATTAGAACTCAAGCTTCCCCAGGGCAGGGACTTAACCCTTCACGGGATCCTAGACCAGTGTTAACAGGAGTTTGGCACATGAATAAATGCTGAACATCAGAGTCTAAGTTAGAAAACTTGTGAGCATCCTTTAATTCATGTAAGTCCTGTTTTTACAGATAAGAACATATGGTTATGTTGTTAAGTAGCCCAGCTAAAACCTGACCCTAGGCCTTCAGCATCTTCACCTGGTCATCTTACCTTCATCATTCTAGATTTTTAGGTACAAAAACCAAGCAATTGATGGAGAGGGCAAAATAATTAACACTTCGGTTTATGTGAGTGTCTTTAGAACTAGTTTTCCATTTGACTCTGGACAGAGTTCTAAGTAAAGCATGTGACCATTGCTCCAACTTCCCCCGTTTCCCACCCTCTGCAAGCCTTGTAACCAGGCCAGGATCTGCAAGCTGACACTTCCTTTTACCC